GGGAGGGCGGCGGCATGGGGTCCAGCGCCATCGATGCTAGAGCAGGGCAGGGCGGGGGTGGGCCGACGCGAGCGGGGGAGAGCCGGTGCGGGGGATAGTAAGGAAACGGGCGGCAGGGAAAGGATAAGGGTGGCTTAGCAGTAGCACGGGGCGCGGACCAGCGCTACACTGGTAAGCCCATTAGCAGTAGCGTGGGCTACATGCCCAACATTGCTGCTAGGCGGCCCGGGGAGCTGGGCCCGTGTATCCACTTAGTAGCAGCGCGGGCAAAGGAGACCGCGCCACTGCTATCCAGTTAGTTGAAGCGTGGGTTTTATACCCCGTGCTGCTACTATGGCCAGCCTCACGGTGGGGACTACTATGTCCGGACGTAGTTTTCCGTCCAACACAAACCCGTATTTTCCTATGGATGTCTCCTCTTGTCCGAGTTCCCGCAAACCAGGGGAGGTTTTCGGGAGTTCGGTCCTCCACCACATAGGACTCCGACACGCCCGACTCACTCGAATGCTCTTTCCGAACAACTTTTCTTCCATCTGACCCTCCTTCCTACTTGCTCTGCGTCCGCACCCTCCTCGTTCAGTGCCATCGTTGTACCTCTCTAACCGCTGCCCAGACATTGTTGTACCTCCACAATCCCCACCAACGCGCCTGCCCACCTTGGACTACGCTGCCATCCACACCCTGGATCCTTTCGCAGCCAGGTATCTCTTGTCCCCTGCCGACACCGTCCATGCTAGACACTAAGCCCGCAAGTGTTCGCCCAAATGCCATTGACTTTTTCTATGTTCTTGTTGTTTCTTTGGAGCAAGCATAGTGACGGGATACTCGGTGATGGAGGATGAGTTGCTATGTGATTGTGGTTGGTTGCATCTACAGATTTTGTAGGTATGAAGCAAGGGGGCTCGGCCTTTCGGCAAAACACGCATTCTTCGTTTCATGAGCAAAAGCACTTCGCACCCTACGACTTGCGAATGATCCATGAATGCAATGTGAAGTTACTAGCCCGTTGTGGTACACCATCTCCAACTCCGTGATGAAGTACTGCGGTGTGATCGCATGGTTGAAGAGAACGTGGCCAACGGGCATGTCAACTATGGAGATCGTAAGTTTTGTTCTTGTTGCTCTATGTGTTGGTCAATCATTGGTTCACTCAATATTGCAACTTGTTGATCGCGTCATTGAATAGCCATCGGCACTGCGGCGCTGTATCACACAATGGAGGGCAGACCATTCCTGTTCGCAGTAACGCCGCCAGGTTGGTGTCACAGCGTATGTACAGTGCCATACATTGTAGCCGCGCCCCAGGCGGAGGCCCTGGCTGCCTAGGACCTGGCTCTGCCCTGGCTGCCTAGGACCTGGCTCTGCCCTTCATGTTATGCATTGTTGGATGCTGCTCAGGGGGCACAGCGCGTGGATTGATATGTGTGGATTCTGATTTGAGTATCGTTGAATTTGTAATTGACGAATTTACTAAACTTATCAAACATCCGGTTATCTCGGATGTGATATTTATATTTGAACTATTATTATACCAGGGATATTTGCATGTTACTTATGTCTGAATTATTTTTATAATTATTTTGAGTAAAAAAAGCAGAGGCAGATGTTTAGGGGACATAATTGGATGTTTGGCGTATGTATATGTGCCCACGGATGTGTTCAGATCAGTCCACATCAGAGCTGGCGATCCAGGGCATCTCTGACAGGCCGACCCATGAGCACGCCGGCACGACACTTCACGGGCCAGACCCGACACGGGCTAATTGTGTCGTGTCAGGAACACAGCATGCCCTGGGCCATGCTTAGGCTGCTAGGCTGAGCACGCGGGCTGGATCGACACGACATGATTATCTTTTTTATTTCTATTTCCTTTCTATATATTTTTAGGGGTGTTTCCTTTATATATGTGGTATATAACTATCAGCGCAACAGGTTAAATTGGCCCAATAAACAGCCCGGTGGGCCAAGTAGTACATTGGGCTGTTGGTGTGGCGACGGGCCGGCCTAATTAGTATAAGGGTTGTGCTTGGGCCTGAGGGAGCAGCACGCGGGCCGACATGACAGAACTCGTATACTAAACATGCCCCCCTTGGTTATGCTGGGCCAGGCATGATTACGATGGGCCGGCTCGGCCCGTTTGACAACCTCTCTTATGTCGATAGTGCAAAAATGATGCACTTACGGAGAGAATCCTATAGGTGGACGTGTTCTTTCCTAATTCATCCCTTCCCCCGAAATTTCTGGTGTGGGGCCCTCCTTCCCTCAAGGCCCCAACTAACTAATAGCACCTTAGTCCGTGAGCTTCAATCCGTAGTAAATTGCACGTAACTGTAGCATTGTTGGCATACCTGGCCATACCTTGGGCTGGGTCGGGCCTAGCCAAGTCCAACGCAAAAAACACAGGCTCGGGCCCGGCCCGGCCATCAGGCTTGGTTTTTGGGCCCAAGTCCGGCCCGCACGCATAAAAACCCATCAGGCCTTGGGCCACAAGCCCGGGCCCAGCCCAATCTTCAGGCTCAAAATCTAGGCCCGGGCCCAGCCCAGGAGCAGTGTTGGGCCGGGCCGGGTCAGGCTTTTTCCGGCTGGGTCGGACCGGGCTGCCCATGACGAGGACTAATTGTTGGTCGATAGTGTGTCCGTTTTGGTGGCCGGTTTGCTAAAAACCTTGTCCCGAAGGGAAATCTCGCGCCGAATCACCTTAACCCCCTCCTCCCCTCCTTAATCCCAACCCATCTCTCTCCCCACCTGCTGCATCGCCGGACCACCAACCCTAGCCAGGCCTCCAGCGGCGGAGGATCGGCCCAGGGCTCCGCGGTTCCCGTGAGGCCCGATGACGAGCTCTGCCCCAACGAGCTTCCCCAAGAGGAAGCTGGGGGTGACGCCCGCGGGGTCCTTTGACGGGCCGCTTGAGGCTGACCTCCACAGCACGCAGGAATTGGAGCAGGTTCGAACCGATTTGCTGCTCTGATTTGATTATTGCTACAGGTTCGCCGCTCCGAGGCTATGATTTTGTTGCTTAGAAGTATCGTCTTGCCTTGCTTGTTGGTCAAAATTGCAGCTTTTGGCCGAGTTGGGTTTGTACAAGAGCGAGGAGACCGCTAGGCAAGAAGAGGTGCTGAGGAAGCTTGACAAGGTTGCTGTTTTCTCTTGCCATGTGCGAGAGTTGTTCTCTCTTTTCATTTAGTGTTGCCATTGGTTGTTCTTCCTTTGGTAAATTATCGCCTGCTAAACAATATCCATGTTTGAAATGTAGATTGTGAAAGAGTGGGTGAAGGAGTTGGCTATTCAGAGAGGCCAAGTCAACACAAATGTCGGGCTTTTCACCTTCGGGTCATACCATCTAGGGGTAATGTACATGCTTTGCTTTGGTTATTTTGGAATCAGTGTTGTTCTAGAGATTAGGTTACGTATTTGACCATATAGTATTTGTTTAGCTTCACTAAAAGAGGCTTCCGGCTAGTAACTTAATATTACCAAACAGAGTATTAGTGTTCTTTAGAGATAAAGACACCAGGATATGGAAATGCCACACACCCTTAATTTGGTTATTAACAATTGTATGCCAACTGGCTCAACTGCATCTGGCTGAACTATTCTTGTTTTCCATCTATGTCGCTGCTTAGAATTGGGTGTTCCACTTTTTCGGTATACTCTGTTTTCAGTTCTCAGTCACGGATATAGAGCACCACGTTGTTTGGTGAACAGCATAGACTCTGGAATCAGTCCTGTTTTAAAGGGTATTTTACCTATCTCAGCATATGTTTGTTTAGCTGTGCTAAACAACAGGCTTCAAGCTAGTAAATTTTTTTTGCTGGTACTTTTTTGAGATTGCTTGCCCGTGCGGTGAGTTAGTAACTTAGTATAACCATACCACAAAGAGTATGTGTTCCTTAGAAGAAAAAAAGGACACCATGATATGGGAATGCCAAACACATCGTATGACCACTTCTAAAGCATATGACCCCAAATGCATCAGCTATTTTTTTGTCTACGTTGTTGCATAGAATTGAATGTTATCCTTTTTCTTATACTTGGTCATGTTGATGTTTTGCCCTGCTCATGAAATTATTTACATGTGCATAATTTGGTATTCCTGCATTAGGTTGATGAACCTGGGGCTGACATCGATACTTTATGTGTTGGACCAAAGTATGTGAACTGTGAGGTATCTTTTTTCCTTTCATCATGTGCAATAAGTGTTGTTTATACTTGAGATATATCATTTTTATTTCCTGACATACTGCTCTTACTTCAGCAGGATTTTTTTACTATACTGCGTGGCATACTGGCACAAATGGAATAAGTGTCTGAACTGCAACCTCTCCCTGATGCACATTTCCCTGCTATGAAATTTAAGCTCCACGGAATATCAATTAACCTTCTTTATGCCAATGTTTCTCTTGCAGTAGTGCCATCGGTAAGTTTGTAATAAGTTTACATGCACTTGTTTGCTTTCCTGTACATACCTTAAGCTCTTATTTATGTGCGTCATGGTATTATCATGGTATATGTGATGTTTTAATTTTTCTCCATTAAGCATATTTTAGTAAGAAAATATGTAAGCAAATTTGTTCTAGCACCTACTATCTTAATTTAAACATAGCTATGCATTACTGTCTGTTATATGTGTATTTATTTTATGGTAATAACATAAGTCCATGTTATGAGCTAGACTGCTAATATTGTAGCTTAGTTACATATGTAGTGTAGTTGTATCTGGCCATCCATTGTATGATGTGATGTACTTCCTCCTTCCCAAGATGTAAGTACGCTTGACTTTGCACAGTCTTTGATGCACAACTTTGACGATCAATATATACCAAAGTGCACGGATTGAACATGTATAAATTGTATCATCGTATTTGTCTTGGAAAACAGTTTATTCCATATGTCTTTATAGTAATGTTATCGACATATAATAAATAAAAATCATAGTCAAAGTTGTGTGATGAAGACCGAAAGAAGTCAAGCACGCCTTATATTTTGGGGGAGAGGGAGTATTAGATGGGAATGCTTATCAGTTATCACTGTCCTCGTGTTCTAACTTTGTTTCTAATTTGGAACAAGTGACAGGGAACTTCTCTCATATGCCTACGTTGTTCCAAATATTGATGCTGGCCTTTTGTTTTGCGCCCCAAAATTTCCTTTATTTCTTCTCCTAGGATGGCAATATAATGATATTCACACATTGCTGTAGAATTTCCCAATCGCTTGACTGTTTTTTTGGTGTAGGTCAGTTGTTGCAGCATTGATAGTATCTTGGACGGCATTCTAACTTTCTTGCCGTTTAACATTCAGTAGTGGAACACTTGAATCTTCCATTCATCATGATTTACGAGTTTCACGTTTTTTTGGCAGAATCATCACATTTAGTTGCGGCCATTAGCTTTCTATGGATACCTTCTGATGTTTTGTTCTAGGGAGATGCGTATAACAGAATGTTTATTCCTTATTTTCATTCATATTTGGATACACATATTTAACTGGCAGTTCTTCTCTAACAAAGATTTGGGGTGTTTACAGCCATCAATGCAACACTTCCCCTGTGACCCTCAGTCTTACTCCCTCCGTTCCATATTACTCGCCGCTGATTTAGTACAATGACAAGTAATATGGAATGGAGGGAGTAGTTGCTTGTGCCGTTCTGTCTTAAATAATGAAAGAAAATTATTTATCTTGAAGTCCACTTCCTGCCTCTTGCCCTGTTTTACGTTGAATATCTCAAGCCATAAATTTTGCTCTTAATGTACTACTGCAGGATCTGGATATCTCTCAAAATTCAGTGCTTTCTGGAGTTGATGAAGTCAACCTTCGCAGTCTTAGCGAGTGCAGAGTGGCAGACCAAATTCTTGATCTTGTTCCAAATATCAAGGTTGGCTTTTGTTTTCCACTTCATTTTCCCCTGTTTATTTCTTCTTAAAAAATGGCACCATAATGATACACACACACACTTGACTGTAGAACTTCCGGACAACGTTAAGGTGTGTGAAGCACTGGGCGAAAAGAAGAGGTGTTTGCGTTAACGTAAGTCAGGTTTCATCACCATGTTGGTAACGTCTGCTTGAGCTGTTATGCTGAGCTAATTGTGTGCTTTGCTAGGCCCCTGGTTATCTCAGAGAGGTCGATTTCCCTGTGATGGTTGCGTGTATATGCCTGGCCTACCCTAATGCTGCGCCAAGCACGCTGGTCACGATGTTCTTTAGCATCTTCGGCTAGTGGTACTGGCCGAACCCAGTGATGCTCTGTTCCATTCATGAAGATCGGGAACTTGGTTTTCCCGTGTGGAATGCACGCTTCAATCGTGAAGACCGGACGCATATCATGCCCATCATTACCCCGGCGTACCCGTGCAGAAACTCGACCGTGCACGTTTCGGCAACCACGCTGGAGGTCATGAAGGAGCAGTTCCAGATTGGGAATGAAGTCTGCCAGGTGTCTTTTCCAAGCCACCGTGCAAGAGTCAGTAGTGTTGTCGTAGCAAAGTAGTACCATCTCTGTTTTGACCGTGTCGTGATCTTTGCTCTTCGATGCAGGAAATCGAGATGAAGCAGGCTGATTGGGCTGACCTTTTTGAGCCGCTCGGTGATCCCCCCAGCGACGAAACTGCCGTTTCGTGCTGATAAACCATTGCCATTGACAAAAGAATCCTAAATTTTATTAACGGTATGCAAGTATCTAGGAAACTACTAAACGACCATGCCGTGGACACCAGAATCCTAAATTCAGTTAATACATGTTTTGCAAGTATTTCTGAAGCTAAACAAGACGTTACTGTGGGTGCATACCTTGTTTTGCTTAGTCTGAGACCAGAATTAGATTGTGCTGGAACTACCTTCTCTGATTATTCAGGAATACTTAGCCAGCCAGTCATGTCATTCAGTTACCGTGATGTTCAGCTGATGCTAGTTGAACTGAACTTTGATGATCTCCTCGAAAGGGTTGCGCTGTGATGTACCAGCGGATGTGCAATTACTGTGGACCATCATGCTTACCAGTACAACTATTTAAATCAATGTATAGGATATGGCTAATCCGATCTCTTGTCTTCCTGCAAGTTCAAGTTTTACAATCCTGAAACTCCGTCTCTCCGAGCTTTCTTATTTTATACTGCTTCCATTTTGTCACGCAGCATTTAAATTTGTTGAGTTTCCCAATTCAGCTTCGCCAGTGTCTTACTATCACTACCAGTCTATCATAAGACAATATTTGTCGCTATTCCGTCATAAGCCTTGCGACACATTACGAATTACAGTGATGCTTAATGTTTTGTTAGTGTCTTCATGTCAAAATTTATTATTCTGTGGCAACACACAGGACATTACGAATTATCACGATCCACAAATTATGAATGTTGCTTGGGTAGTTAACCGGCTGAGAAGCATATGCCAAGCCTTTCAACAGAAATTTGTATACGCACAACCTTTATTTTCTTACCATATATCCTTCAACTCTTGTTCAGGTTTACATTGTAACTAATTACCTGGCCACAGAGCTGGTTCATGCGTAGCATGGCACATCGAAAACTTAGTTCTTGTGCAGCGCCTTCCATCACCTCCAACCTCAGCTCTGTGGGGGCACCAATCCGAGAGATCCAACCTTCTTTGCAGCTGTTGTGGCACCATGGAGAAGAAGAGGTTGCCCACCAAGGGCCCCGAAGGAAATTAAAGAAGAACCAAGGAAAGTTGAATCTGTCTGCCTTGGCTAGGATCAGGACCTTCTGAGGTCATTAGACTTTGTGAAACTGATTGTAATCCTACCTCTTGATTAATACAAGTGTTTTCCCGAAAAAAAGGTCAGTGGATGAACACCCATCCCAGTAAAAGTAGTACTATATTGTTGTTCTGTTGGTACACGTTTGTGTATATGATTAAAATTCACCTCTTTCCTGTTGCTAAAAAATTTAGAGCCATAGATGCAAATACAATTAAGATTTATGATTCATGTCTTTCTATATTGAAAAGAATTCCAAATAGACGGGCGCTCCATGACATGAGTCATAATAACTGAGTGGAAAACAAAACATAAGTAGGAACTGATAATCATGACATGAATTTAACCTTTTACATCCAAAATGCCACGGGATCTTCAGCGAGGAACAACTTAGAGGTTGCTTCAGGCACTTGGTAGTATTGCACCTGTCGGCTCTTGCGAGTCGTCAGGTCTCCATTCATTCCATACGTGAGAAAGAATGTGGCGACACGATAGAAACAGCGACCAGGTAGGCGCGCATCTCCCTTAAATGGCTGCCTGCGGAGCTGCTCCCACGACCAGCGGAGGCTACGATCCATGCTGCAATATGAAGCCGGGGGGTAGATGATATGCTCCAAGGAGAGCATCTCGAAGGACGCCGTGCTCAGGGTGAACAGCTTCTTGCCGACGGGGAGGTAGATGGGGGGATGATTCATCCATGGGTGGTCGCCTTGGTGCTTCCAAGGGCCGAAGGTGATGCCCCGCGACCGGACGCCGAACATGGGGAAGTAGCTCTCCGACGAGCCGTCACCGACCCAGGTCCACGGAATCTTCGGGCGGATGCATCGCCAAGATCCGGGAGCCAAAGGCCGAGACGAAGTACTTGGGGGCAGAACGCGGCGCCACCATGCGGAGGCAAGCGCTGCAGGGGCCGCAGCGGGGCTCCGGACCTGGCCTCGTCTTCTTGGCCGGAGACGGCCGGCTGCTGCTGATGACGGCCAGAGCTCGGCGACAGGCTTACCTTCCGGATGCTGTATCCACGGGACCAGTCGTCGAACACAAGGTAAAGGTGATGCCGCCGCGGTGGCTTTGCCTTCGCCGACGGCTGTCCAGCGGCGGAAGACATCGCGACTCGGGGCTTGGCGATTGATCGTGTTGGGAGTAGGACTGGGAGCCGGCGGCGGCGGCGGCGGCTGTAGAGGATGAGTGGCGCAGGGATTGTTTCGTTGGTGTGGAGGCAGGAGGCGTCGTCCTGGTGCTACTCATGGGCTGATGGGCCTCGACCTCCCTGGGCTGTATGCCTGTTGCCCAGCTATTATTATTTCTTTTTCTAATTGTAACTTTGTGTTATTTTATTTGCTCAAAAAAACTTTTCTGTTGTTTTATAAAATAAAAAATTCATACAATTTACGGAGCTTTTTTTGAAATTCAAAAATAAAATTTTTAAGTTTCAAAAAATCCTGAAAAATTCATACAAGTTTATATGGATGCATTTTACATGTGTGTGAAGTTTGACGATGACTACATCATGGTCAGAGCTACAAAAACACAACTTCGTGCATTTTTAATAGTGAACAGTGCAAATGCTGTTCATCATTTTCAAAATCATTGTTTTGTCTTTTTTCTATAGCTCTCACCGCAATTGATATCATCTTCAAATTTTACACATATGCAGTGTGCGATTTTTTAGAATATTTTCGAAATCAAAATATGATTTTTAGAATTTTTAAAATAAAGGGCTCCATGGAGCTCATCCTCCATTTAGCATTTTTGGGTAGTATAACTGTATTACATCGAGTTAAAATTGTGCGAGACAGTGTTGGCTTAAAGATCAATTTGTTTCTTGATCGAGCTACATAAAAGATTCATACTCAACATATTACTCCCCCCGTCACGGTTTAGAAGGTACGCTTGGAAATTTTCTGGGACCTACGTGGTTATCTATTGGCTGTGAGATGGGCTAGAATAAATAGCATTCACACTATGCATTCATATAAAAATAGTATATAGGAGTACTAATTAGCTACTAGACATAAATGCAATGCGCCCTAAACCTTGTCTATTGTGGAAACGCATGTAAATTTAACTGTGCCTTCTAAACTATGACGGAGGAAGTACTTTTCTGAGTCAATCTTGAATGGAGCTAAAAGACGTGTGGATCTCGATTCTCGAGCGACTCACGAGTCTCGTTTCTTGTAGCCCTTAATTGAACCACTCGATCAACTTCTAATCTCTTCTTATACAAAAAGCAAACAATCAAAACTCAACAACGATCGACCCGGTACGCCGGTGTGCGGTTGTTAACCCACACGTAGGACAGTCGCCGGCGGGATACCGTTAACGAAGTTATAGCTGCTGGGGCTGCCCCAACACTACCCGGAGCTCCGCCGACGGTGACACCACAGTGCTCGCCGCTCCTTCAGTGGCGACGTAGGAGGCGATCCCGACCGCGGCCGCGGCGATCGACAAGAACGAGGCGCCGGCGAACACCCCGGCCACGAGGACGGTGCACTGGTAGTAAGAGGCGACGCCCTCCTTGGGTCGCCGCTCCGCGCTATCGTTCCTGAGAGCTCCGGCGAGGAAGGCGCACGTCGACAGGATCGTGAGAAACCTGCATGCAGGGCGCTTGACCTTTTTCAGTACAAATAAGGCCATTGAAATCTTCGTTCATGGAACGGTGCAGGCCGTACCATGAGAGTATCGAAGCGAAGTAGCCACCGACGCGCCCATGATCGGACGACGATCGCCTCTGCCGGCATCCGTCCCAGCAGCCGGTGGCCGCCGTGAGGATGGCCTGGCCGGTGAGAAGCGATGCGGCCGCGGCGATCCCGCAGTCGAACGCCGGCGTCCTCCGGTATACGCAGTTCACCCCGTCGTACCTGACGAAAGACCTGGACTTGGTCGCCTCGCCGATGATCCCCAGCACGGCCGCTGCGAGAGCCAGGGCGCCCACGGCGGCGCATATCACAACCACGTGCTTCTCCACCATGCCTGGGCGGCAGATATCTCATCGATCTCATCAGGATGGAGACAAGAATTGCCAATTATGTAGTGTCTACGTTCTGCCTTTCTTGCTCGCATGGTTTGATTATATCCATGCCGTGTCTTGGTATAAACGTACATCACCTTGAGTAAATCGTCCGAGTATTTTATTAGCTAGCTACAGTGGCACGAACACCTGTTTTACAGGGGCATTTGCATTGTTTTCGTCTTTTCGAAGACAAAAAAAGGAGGCAAGTGCACTCAACCTGCCCACCTGGCTTTCAAAGTTTAGACTTTTATGGCGCTCGTATTTTACTAGATTTATTTCAGAATAGAACATATTTATTTATTTTGATGGCAAGTGATGAACTTGTCGACAACGAGGTGTTTGCAGTAATTTCATTAATCTCAAAACATGTTTACTCAGTCTCTCAAATATGCTTATAAGGGATGTGTATGTTCTCATGGTTGAGTGCGTGAACTTGTTTCTGAGCGTTTGAGGTTCGTGGTGTTGTGCCGCCTACTCTCATGCAGCCACCTCCTATCAAAAAGATTAGGATTCCTCTGCCTTCCGCCGGTGTTGCTGCCTGTCCACCTTGTCTCCGATGGCCTTAGGCCATGGGGACACGGTAGATCCCATCCCTTGCCGGCGGAAGGGCTCCGTTTTTACATGTTTTTTGGGTTTTGTTAGGGTTTGTGTCCTGCTTAAGAAGACGAGACGGCAGCGACTCCCTGAAGATGGAATAAGGTTCTCTCCGCCTAGCCCCGTCTCGGTGATGCGTCTAGCATCAGCGATGGGCGTGTGGAGGTGTCATCAATGGATCTGCCTTTGATGGATTTGCTTGGATCCGTTCGTCGTTCATCTACGTTCGTTTATCTTCAAATTGGATCCTTTCGGTCTACGCTACTCTTCATCGGTGGAGCTTGTTGTTCTGGTGCGTTGGTCCTATGATCTTAGCACAACAACTTTCTGACTGTCTACTACAAAAAGTTTTGCCCGGCTCCGGCAAGGGAGGGGTGCGGATGGATGCGCGCCTTTGGCACGCTTCAGTGTTTGTAGTCGTCGCTGGATTGTCTACGAATCTGGATGTAATTTTTATTATTTTTGATGTTTGTTGTATTGCCATGATTGAAGATAAATAGATTGAAAGTTTTTCTGAAGAAAAAAAATGTGTTTTTGAGCATCTACGCCTATACCGTCTTCCGCAAAATAAGAAGGCAATTGCATTGTTTTTTTAGACAAGGCAACTGCATGATGACACAACAACTTGATACGTGGAACAGTTTAGTACACCAACATTTTTTTCGAGTGATCAACTTGTGAATTAAACGGGCTGACCGATTACAGGAAATGTTTATTGGTTGTTGCTTTATTAGCTAGCTACAGTGGTATTTTTCAGCTCACTTGGGGAGTAGGGCGTTTTGGTGCCCAGACTTATCTGCACCCGGTTAGAAATTTTTTTGTACAAAATTCAAAACAAATTCAAAAAATTTCAAATAAAATTTGTCTGGTAGATAATTTGATGCGTGAGACCCGCTCCAAATTTCAAGTCATTTGGACATATGAGCAGCTCTCAGCAAAAAAGACAAATCGGGCCAAAACAGTACATGAACAGTAAACATTTTTACAGACCCCCAATTTGTCTTTTTTGCTGAGAGCTACTCATATGTCCAAATAACTTGAAATTTGAAGCGAGCCTCGCGCATCAAATTGTCTACCACACAAATTTTATTTGGATTTTTTTGAATTTTTCTAGTATTTGTTTTGATTTTTTTTATCGGCACGGGTGCAGATGAGCTCGGGTGCAGAAATTAATTTTCGTCAGTTGGGCAGTTTCTTTGTGATTGCACCTGTCCACTCCGGTTAGAAATTTTATGACTTTGTACCCCCTGGCTTTCTGACGTGCGCTTTGCACGCATACATGCTTCCTCTTAATGAATAAAATGCTGGAGAGCGGAGTTATAAAAAGAAGTCCTAGACTTTGTGTGGTGCATGCATTTTTTCTGGATTTATTTCAGGATAGAACATCTTCATTCTTTTTGTGGTAAGCGACGGACTCGTAGTTGTTTTGTACGTTCACAGGGGTGAGTGCATGAACGTGTTTGTGAGCGTCTAGATCTATACCATCTTTTGCAAAATAAGAAGACAATTTAACTTCCTCTTACAAGGCGACTATAAAAAGGCTTCGTCCCCTCGATCTTCATCGCCGAGTCCGTAGATTTGCCTCCCATCCGCCTGCCGCTCGGGCGACCGATGGCGGGGAGGGGATTCTTGGTGTTTCCGCTGCGGATCGTAGATAGGTAGGGTTTTAGTCCTGCAGGGGCGGCGTTTGGACGGATGGCGGCGCTTCTTCTTCGAGTCAGTCTTTCAGTCTTCAATCCTCCTCAAGTTCGCCCATTGGGACAAATTAGACAGAGCTCCAGCGTAGATTCCTGCCACCTCCTCGGGGTGGCGATGTTAGGGTTTCTCGCCATGTGTACGCAACAGCAATATTTGATGTCAGGTTCTTCAGATCTATTCAACGATTCAATGACGATGATTGCAGCTCCAGAGAACATACACGAAAACTTTCCGGTTATCATCGACAAGGTCATGGCACCAGCGACAACGGTGCGTCGACGGCTAGTTCTGGCGGTGGCAATGGTCAGTGGTCCATTGACCTTGATGTAAATTTTACTATGTTTGAGGTGTTTTGTACTTTCAGTGAATCGTTATATAGATTTTATCTTTTCACACAAAAAAGACAATTTTACTGTTTTTTAGACAAGGCAATTGGATGATGATACAACGACTTGGTAGTACAACAACATTTTTCTTTAGTGAACAACTTGTGAATTAAACAGGCTGACCGATTACAGGAAATGCTTATTGATTGTTGTTCTTTATATAAAATGGATCGAAAGCCTTTTCAGTAAAGGTCCATACAATTGCTCAATTGACATTCGACAGTGATGTTCCGAGAGATGACGGGGCAGGGGCAGGGGCGGAGCTACAGGGTGGCCAGGGTGGGCCACGGCCCACCCTGGGATTTTTGCTTAGGTTATATATCTTCGGATTTCTAACTGGGCCAGAAAAAATCAGCCCAATAACATTTACCGATCGATCCAGTGAACGCCGCCACGCCCTGGTCTCTCACGCCCTCCTCTCGTCCACATCTCGCACAGGAGACAGGACAGCATCCCAGCCGCCGTTCCTCGCCTGACCGGCTTGCCGACCTCGCGGCCTAGCCGGTCGCCGGCCGGAGCCCAGCCCGCCTCTCCTTCCCGCCTGCCTCTGCCCTCGGATCCACCGCTCCAGTCGCTCCCCACGGCGCCCCCACCCTGGCCGCCTAACCCTTCCGCCCCGCCCCTGCCTCCGCCCTCCAGCCTCGTTGCAAAGCTGCTGGCCGCTGCTGCCGCTCAGTAACCAGTCTTCGGCGGCAGCAAGTGTGCAACCCGATTTAAGTTACCGAAAACCCTCAATTTTTTACCTAGGGTTTGCTTTTTTGCACTATGAACACGCACATAATTTCTGCCTCAATTATATTTATTGATATAAATTAATTTTTATTGCAGAATTGTTGAAGAATGAACAGGACGTAGACATTGTCTCGCTTTTCTAGAGAAAAGCTACGAAGTTAGGGAAGAAGAAGAAGGCGGGGAATACGTCACGTGTGGCCGGAGAGCAAACCGGAGAATTTGTGTGTATGGCGGTTGTGAATCAAACTCAAGAACCAACAGTGTCTATTTCAAATGTGACCATAAAGCAAACTCAAGAACTTCTCAAGGTATGTACTATGGTCCATATAGTATGTACTACTACTATGTATGTTTCTTTATGCAAAACTTAGACTTAAATGAGATTTTTAATGTGTTTGTAAGACCATATTAATTTATTTCTATGTGATATATTGGTAACTAGTTAGAACATTCACATATCATATTTCTTGTAAAAATTCTTTTGAGAGGTGGACCACCCTGATGTCAAATGCTAGCTCCGCCACTGGGCAGGGGCAGGAAAGTGCAGGCAACATTCAGTTAGAGCATCTACAGCCGGACTTGGCAAATCTGGCCCCTCAAGCACCCGCGGATACGCCTGGACATTGACCGGGCATTTCTTAAAAAGTACAATCCATATTTGAACATCTCAATTACCATATCTCAAATCCATACAAACTCATGCAACTACGTCGATGCATACGCATCGTTCGGCTACTTCATCACACTACACTAAACATGTCATCGGACAATCAAAATTTGGCATGTTTGGCTATGGTGGAGTGCATCCACGGCTGCCCTTGCGTTTCTAGGTGCCCTTGCCGTCCTTCTCACGGAAGTACTGGTCAAAAACGCAGTACGGATCGAGCCGGATCTGCTCACCGCTGGAGCTGTCCTCACCGTCGTTGTCCTCCTTCTCCTTCTTTGGTGGCAGTCCGACCATTGCACGGACTGCCCGATTTTGCTCACGGGCGAGGGCATGCGTATTGCTCCGCTGCCGTCTCTTCACAATGCGGGTGCGGATGGCTTCCTCCTCTGCGGTCGCCCGCGCCGCCGCATCAGCCGCCTCCGCCGCCACCATTTCTGCCGCGATATGGTCCTCGGCGGCCCTTATCCTCTCCTTCCCACGGCAGCCCGCCCGTTCCCGGTGGGACTCATACTCTGCCCGACCGGTGATGGGGAAGGAGAGGTGTTCCGCCCGGGACCGCGAGGATTCAGCACCAGAGAACCCGAGCGCCCGGTGAGCCGATGATATGGCGCCGCGGCGGACGGATCCGTTCGTCGGCCAAGCTGTCCTCCCGGAAGCGGTGGAGTGCAATGCGGACTGCCCTCCAACCCACATGGGACGACACCCCAGTCGACGGATCCGGAATGGTCGGAGTCCGATCCGCTGCATGCCATGGTGGAGAAGGCCGCAAACCGCCGGAGGTGAGCTCGGGTGGCGGAGGGTTGTGGAGGGAAGTGAAGTGAAATGGCTAGGGTTTGCTCCGGCGAGAGGATGGGGACGAATATAAGTGGGATCGGATGGGCCAACATGGGCCAGGTCCGACGTGACGAACGTGCCGGAGCGCCCCATATCCGCCTCATATTTGGGCTGGATATAAAGGGTGCCGGTCAGAACGAGCGTTTGAAAACCGTTTGAGAGACTTTTTTATCAAAAAGTCGTGACTGAACAGTGACCGGTTGATCTAGCCGGGCGATATAAGACGGATTTTAAAGGTCCGGTTCTAGATGCTCTTAGACCAAGCAGCAGCAGCGCTGAGCAAATAGATTGCTGGGGACAAATGGCCGCATGATCCTGATGGGAATCATGCATGCGGCCACTAGCCGGAGCCAGCGCATGTGCGTCGCCACGATCCGGATCCCTCAGGACTATTACTATGAATCCCTTGGGTCGCCCAACCACTCGCTACAAAGGCATCACACTTTTCGAGGGTTCAGGTTGTGTTTGATACTGTACTAGTTTGATCCTCGCGGCGAGGGACGCGTACGTGGCGGTGCCATGTTAGTTAGATCGGCAGAGACAGGCACGATCTGACAGGAACAAGTTTATGGATCTAGGTAATCAGGCATGTATTCAGGTGGGTGTCTGGAATCTGGATGTGGGCAGTCCGACAGCCGATGATCCTTGTCTTGTCCCCGTGTAGTTGATCTGAAACTAGCATGTCTTCTTGGTCCGTTTTGCGGGGCCAAGGAGTCACACCAAACAGGAACACCAATCAACTGAGGTGCCAGATTGATTGATTGTTCGTGAGCTGCGGTGGCGGATCTAGAACAACACGACAGGGGGTGCCAGGCTCAATATATATTCACGTTTAATCACTGGTTGCACATGTTGAAATATATTGCTCATCTCTTTTTATCAGTTTGGATTTTTGGATGAGTTAACTGGAGCATGAATTCAATACAATATCAGAGCACATTTGAATACACAGACTATACACTTTCGATGGATTAGTTACAACAGAAACATGAGAGCCGGAAGGGATCACGACGTGCATAGAGGACACTAATTTGCATGATACTGCTCCCACGTCGAGGTTCTGGGTACGTATATCAATATTATCTACACAGCACACCTATCGCTTATTGCTCATCTCAACGTAAATCATCTAAGCCATTTTACCCCTGTTGCCGTCACAAGTTAAACTACCTGCTGGCAGTGCAATACTTGCTCCTCCTCCTTAAGCCATTTGATTCTTCTGCTTTGGATGAAATGCTCAAACTTTCTGTTCAGCTCGTCGATCTCTAGCTTCTCCAGCTCCTCCTCATCTACTCCACGGCAGGTTATCTCCTCGACGACGACCACCGTCTCCAAGGTCCCTTGGTCTCCCTCGAGCCCAGCCGATTCCGGTGGCGACAACACCGGCACTTCTTGTCGCTTCCCTTGCTCTCCCGAACAACTCGCCGGCGCACCTTCGGTGTTGCTGCTGCAGCAAAGGACCCCTGGATAAGAAGCACATGGCGGCAATTTAGAAGCCGTGACAACGTCGTCACTCGTGGATGGGATGGCCATGCCGACGCCAGGGAAGAAGCAGCGGTAGTCGGCGGCGAGGAAGAGGAATATGGCATTGGAGAGGACGAACAGTGCCTTCTTGTACTAGTTTGTTGGGTGGTTTCCTTGCTGGGATCCAAATACAAACACAAACAGAGAGCAGTTTCAGATGCTTGTAGGGTGCACTTTCCTTGCAATTGTTTAAGCAGCGTCGCCGCCTAACTAAAGCCTTGCCATCTCCTTAGATAGAGAGTATATGCCAGGAAGTGACATGGAACTTGCTCATGCTTAGCTAGCTACGTCGTGGCTGATGCCCCCTGCACGAGGCAAAGTAATGGTTATACTAGTGCTGACCATACGTCCAGTAGATGCACAATTGACAGTGACATTCTGAAGCCAATCAGGAACTCTTTTTTTTTCCGAAACGGAGGCAAAAGATTTGCCTCGTCTATTAAATAAGGGAGGAATAGAGTTTTAGAGTTTTACAATGCCCACATATACGGCATGACAATTACTCGCGCAATATAATGATCCCTAGTCGTTTTGCACCAGCAGTGATCCAAAGCTTTGCCTCCTCCAGAATGGAGCTAAGAAGGATAGGCGGCGGCGCGCTCTTGCGGCGGAACACCCTGGCATTTCACTCATTCCAGATGGTCCATTTAGTTCAGAGTACATTTGCACAGGTCCTGTACATTTGTGGCGGAACTTGCAAGCCACCCACACAGGTCCTGTACATTTGCACAATTGACAGTGATGTTCCTGCGATCTACTCCCTCCGTTCCAAATTACTCGCCGTGGTTTTAGTTCAGAGTACTACCTTGAGCCTTGGAGAAATGACGGGGCGGAGCCAGGAAAGTGCTGGGAACATTCAGACCAAATACTGCTACTAGGTTGAAAGTGATGTTCCTGCGATCTACTCTACCACCTTGAGCCTTGGAGTAGTAGAGTAGATTGCTGGGGACAAACGAACGACCGGCTGTCTGATCGAATCGAAATCATGCAGCCAGCAGCGGAAACCAGCGCATGTGCTGGCAGGTCACGTAGTACGTACTGTATTACCTTAATCCCTTTGGGTCACCCAACAACTCACTAAAAGGCATTGCACTTTCTGAATTCTGATGGCTTCAGGTTGCGTTGGATCTTGGCAGCGAGATCCGCGCGGCGCGACGCGACACGCGGTGGTGGTGGTAGATCGGCCGCGCATGTAGGAGGGGGACAAGCAGCAGTATCTGAAAGAATGTACAGGATTCAACAAGATGTTTAAAGAGTTCGTTTAAAGAGTTCGTAGGAGAGTGAGCATGGGACTGGATTCAAGGATGCATAAAACAGCTCTCTGAACTTAGATTTCGTTTAAAGAGTTCTAAGAGGTACACCTTCTGTCTCAAAATACAAGATGTTTTCTGACACTCAAAACACGTCTTATATTTTGAGACAGAGGGAGTATTTGTGACCGGAGCATTGGCCAACCGGCCGTTACTCGCCAAATGCAAGAGAAGAGTAAACATCTACAAGAAAGTTTCTTGTTTTGTTTTGCGAGCTGAAGAACACAAAAAATGCCATGAAACTTGATAGGATGACAAAGGACACATATCGATTGGCTGAAAGACATGCTAAAAAGTACAGACATGCGCTTTCGAAAAATTCCATATTCAAACTTTTCAGTTTCAAAAAAATCTGAAAAAAAAATTGTGAAGTAAACAAGGATGTTATGTGTATGTGTGTAAAATTTCAGGATGAAATATGTTGAAATGCGACCTGTAAAAAAAGACAAATTCATGGCCCAGGAGGATGAATGGTATTCAAGTGTTAAAAAGCCCAGATTTGTCTTTTTTTGCACAGCCCTCCTTTTAACGTATTTTGCCTTGAAAACTTACACACATGTGTGTTATGCCTTCATGTATATCTGTATTTTTTTCAGAATTTTTTGAAATGTAAACATATGAATTTCGATGAAATTTGAAATTTGAATTTAGAGGCCTCCATGGAGGCCGAGCCCCAAAGGCAATTTTCAGGTAACAAGACACAATAAAAATCATAGCTATATAGGAATAAAATTCCAACTCTCGTCAATAATAAGAACAAGAACGGTCTCTCTCTTTACTGACAACAAAGTCACAGGTGCAATCGCAACTTTACAGCGAGTTTACAGGCACAGGTCTCTCGAGCATGTAAGGACGACGGCTCATGGACAGTTTCTATTGAGGTAAGTGTTTAGTGTCCAACACTGCAACAGGAATCCAGACATCCTAAGACACATACATCGCTCATCAAACATGGCTCAAATTATACACATCGAAATCTTCCCAAGAGTACACGAATGCCTAATTACATACAGTAAAATTTTGCAAAACTAAAACTTTAGAGTGGGGAACTGCCCTCAAACTTCAGAATGGATTACCACATTGGCGAGTCGGAGAACTTCTGCTACCAACAGATCCTTCAGAGAGATCAGAACACGCCGAAAAGCGTGGCGGCGGCGAATAACAAAAACAGCACTCCTCCCAGCAGGCCAACCTGGTGAGAATGGCACTTTCTTGTAAGCCATACGAACCAGAGCCAAGCTCTCAAAGTAATGCAAAACCATGAGCCGGAGGTTACTAGCAATACGCTTACCAGCTTCTCGGATAGGTAGTTGGCTAGGAATGCTCCCCCGATGATCGCAAGCAAAGTTGCAACCAAGTGTCCAGCTATGGCCCCGCTAGCAACGCCCAAAGGAGACTGGGAAAAAAAAAGAGCCCGGTTTACGCTTACGCAGGAGCTAAACCAAATCAACAAGCAAGTGATGTTAATGCGTATTCAACAGACCTGTGCAGCACCCAAAGCAATTGTAGCCAGCATAGAGCGATCCCCCCACTCCTGCATGTACACAAAGTTTGGCAGGCGATAAACCACTTGTTCACGAATTGACAAGATTTGAGCATCCAACCTTCGACGGCAGTGATTGTTTGACAGATAGTATTTCTGAACATGAGAGGGAACTTACCGCAAAGAAAACAAGACTGAAGGATTTCCAGAGAATCGCAAGAGGACTGGTGATTTTCAGTGAAGCCTACAAAGTAAAACAACCTCCAGTAAACAAAAGATGGAAGGCAGGGATGGAACTTTCATTAACTTCAATAATTTTTTTTGTCTGAAACACAACATAAGGAAATCCAAAATGCGCCACGTTCTAAGGATACAAATCTTTGCTTGGACAATGCACAGTTGCAACAGCTTCTCAAAAACTTGAAGTAAAGCAAAAGATTACGCTATATCCCTTTGGAAATAGGTGATGCTTTAGAAAATGTGTAGCCAAAGTCAGACCTCCCTAAATTTGTCTTGCAATGCATAACAAAATATTAAGATTGGAAACGTGAAAAGAGTACCATAAGATTTGTCATGAAAAATATTTTCACAATACTACGATGCTGCAATGTTTCACTAACTTATTCATATGCAAAATAACGGTCAAAGTTGGATATTGGAGAGCAAGCTAATGTCTGAAATGTCAGAATCAAAAACTCTCGACAGAATCAAAATATCTGGAAAGCACAACCTTTTCCTTAACAAGCTCCTCAGCTTCAGCCAGTTCGCCAGATTCAGAGCTTTCTTGAAGATCCCCATTCACTTTATCTGGAAGTGCCCATGCATCTTTAATTGATTTGAAACCAAAAAATGCAAGGAGCGCAACCGCTGCATATTCTCCTATGGGTAACGCTGCAGACAAAAAAACATGTTTGCGCATGTCTTAGTATATGTGGTATAAACTATCTTACAGAAAGTAACAGACGAAGTGTTGAAAACTTAATTTAAAGCACAAACCAATTGACTTAATTAAGGTCTATAGCGTTACTAACTTGTTTGAAATTGTGCTGGTACAGACTGAAAGATCCGTCCAATTACGACACTCACAATAGTCATCAGGGAAAGAGCAGCCATTGACCCAAGTAAAACCTGCTCATAAAATGCACACAACGATATCACTAATTTACCATTGAAATAGTTAGGTAAGGAACTACATATTTCTCTACAAACAACACAACTGAAGGCAATGGTATCATCATCAGGACGCAAATAGTTCTCTGCTACAAAAACTCATAAAATGTATCACTATCATTAATATCTTGATCTCTAGCTACAAAAACAGTCTTTCTGCTCTTGGATGGGTCCAACATGCTTATGTCTATAAGGGGTTGTTCTCTGCTCAACTTTCCACAGAGCACTGACCATTAGACTCCTCAACAGAAAATCCAGTTAAAGGTCATATCTTTCTTTTACATACACAAAATGGCATAAATATTAAATCAATATTCTCTCAATCAAGATGAGACTGACAGGAAAGGGAAAACAAGGTAAGAGCAGAATTGGAATAACTAGGCAATGAAGTGAGGCAGATATAAAATGTCAAGGTCCACAACATACCAATGCCTTTTGATACTGCATCGCAAGTAGTGCAGCAATGAAAAATGTCTGCAATGACAAGAAGGGTCAGCCTGGTCAAATTTGTTGGTTTACTTGAATGTATTACAAATACTATCAAATAAGCATCAAACTAAAGCATAGGATGTTGGCTGAAGACAGGTCCAAATGCAGAGAACATTTTAGAAGAACATATAGCTACAACTGATGGTCTAAATTACATCACAATAATTCACTGTCAATGCAATATAACCCCAATCTTACAGAACTGACAACCACATTCTCTAATTCTCAAAATAGCATAAGCCAGAATCAGAACTGTAGATGAAGCTGAATGCTGCTTTGTGCTATGTTTCATACAATACATTACAGGCCAATCGCTCGCCATGTATCACTCCGTAGAGGGGTTGGCAACATCAAAATAAGGTCAACTCTGAACTTTAATGATGGAGCATGAGAATTAAAGCCTCTAAAAGGGGTTGACAACAAGAGTGTAGGTGAAACCTAGACTTCTGAGTGAAACAAAACTTCAGTTTGTTTAGTGACATCAGTAACTCCATTTGTGTCGTGAAGATCTTCCTTACACCACAAGGTTACTAAAGTACACTATTGTCTATTAAGAAAACGTGAAAAACTCTTACTAAAGGAGGATAACTAAGGAACATGCCAAAATGTACACAAAAGGAATAAAAAGAGAAAAAGGAGAACTGAAATGGTTTATATACCTTATCCCCGATCTCGGATACAAAAATGAGTGTAAATGCTGCCGTGAAACCTGACTTTGCTAGTGCAGCTACAACTGCAGATGGCTGTCCTTTAAAGAAAACGATAAAAGCAGATGCCAGGGCGCACAGAAGTAGCACGGCAGCAATAGCTTGCATGTAACGAGATCCTGAAGCTGGTTTTGCTCTGCCATGCATTGTCAATGATATGAGCTCAATGCTATCTGTATCAGGACAGGACCAAAGCTGGATGAAAACCAGTTGAGGGGCGAGAACTCACGGTTCATTTGAACTTTTGGTACCAGAACTATCCAACTGTTCCCTACGGCCACCTGCTTCATCTCCTTCATAGCTCCCAGCTCCAAGGTCTATGTTAGATGTTTGCACTCTGACATCATACCTTATTGGCTTCAACCATGACAACAACCTACATCTTACTGTTAAAATGAAAACATGTAACTACAGATATATATGCCTCACTAAAATTGAACAAGAAACAGGTAATGATAAAAAGCCTTTCTTCTAGTTGATTGCAATAAAGGCGATTTAGACAGTGCTATGCAAGACTCCTTTGCGATAAATACATAATAGAGGTGCTTGCTATTTGAAGTCGCTGTGCATATGGGTAAATGGGCCCATCAGCTTTACATAGATGCGTGATATGGGTATGATACGTTCATATGGAGACAGCGATAAAATGCTTCCCAAAGACATGGATAGGGTGGCATAAGTGTAAAATCCCCAAAGATGTAGAGTCCATGAGAGATTAAAAACTGAGATTATCCTGACCGAAACTATACATTCCTGGCCTCCTTGCTGTTGCTACGACCACAACTAAACTTACTTCCTCCATTCCAAATGAATAAGGCGCACACGGTTCCCAAAATTCAACTTTGACCGTAGGTTACATCAATAATGTGAATTTTTGTGACTTCAAAAGTGTACCATGAAATCTTCTTTTCAATACGAATTCAATGGTATATGTTTTATACCATATAACCCACATTTGGTTGGTCTAAGTTTTGGTCAAAGTTGCATTTTGGGATGCATGCGCGTCTTATTCATTGGATTGGAGGAGTATATATTTTCTAGTGTACTCCGTCGAGCACACCAAGGATAATGACGATGAACAATGTGACAGATTTTGTTTGGGCATTTCATCGAACATGTCAAGGTCACCAGCAGCCACCACTCATGTACATTTTATATGGGGTTGAGTTGGAATGAATCAGCTATCAGTAGGTACAGGGTAAACTAGGATCAACCTTGAGCAACTAAAATAGAACCACGGATGGATCAGATTAGGATATGGTCAGCCAGAACAAAGCAGTGCAGACAAACTATAGTGATCCTTACCAAGGCAAGACGAGACAACCGGAGCCCCCGCGCCTGTACTCCAGTAGTGGTGAGGGGGGCGGCGAGCGAACTCCAGGCCGCCGCGTGCTTCCGTCGACGGAGGGCCGGCGGCGCAAGCGAGGCGAGCGTGGCTCCTCCGGCGGGCGGCGCGCTGCGAGACGCACGGGGGAGCCGCCGGCGCCGGGAGGAGGAGGGCGTGCCGGCGAGGCGCCGCGAGGCCGGAGTGGCCGCACGCTCCGGATGCCATGCAGGTTCGGGATAGGGTGGTCAGTCAGCTGTCCGTATCGCCTGAGGCGCAGTCTGTCAGTGTGCAGAGAAGTGAGACTGAGAGCGCGTGGTCCCCGTAACAGAAAAGCCGAGGAGATAGAAGAGAGGGAGAGGGCACCTGCGTCTCTGCCAGCGCCGGCCTGGCGCGCGGTGGTGCGGGCGCCGGCCGCCGCTGCCGGCCGGATCCGGGCCGGCGGTGGGGGCACGAGGAGCTGAGACGGACCGAGAGGGGCCAACTGGCCAAGCTACTTCCTGTCGTCGCGCCCACCACCGAGCCACTCGCTGGGGTCGTCGCGCCACACGCTGGTGCACAGTGGAAGCCTCCCGTTTGGCGGATCTGGAAGCTCTGCTCCATGACACGACCATGACCGCCATTGTCAGCTGACTGGGGCCACAGGTGAGCGATGGTCGGAACTGTAAGTTTTTGACGGTTACAGGGTCTAGGATGTAAAACACCCAACCGTGTTGACACATGTATCAGGAGGCAAAAGCTCTAGAGACCCAGAAACTTGCGTTGAATGTGATGGTTTAGTCCATAAACTTGTAAAAGATGATCAATTAGTCCACAAACTTGTAAACTATGTGATGGTTTAGCCCATAGCCAATCAGAGGCGGACAATTGGCGCCCAGCTGGCTGCTTCGTGGCACACCTGTTCGGACCGGCGTTTCTATGGAAAACCCCTCAACATTTCAGGAAATCACGCCCACAGTCCATGTAACGTGTTAGCTGCTGTCATTCCTGTCTGAAATAACATGTTTAGACGGACATTGATCTGGTCACTTGGTCGACAGTGTTTTCAATCACGTCTTATGTGCATTTGAGTTCAACTCCTTTTCCCCCATTTTCCTTCTTAAGAAATGGTAAAATCATCGTGCAAAAGCAACATGTGCAAGGCAGATCTGCTGCTTTCACACCACTGCTCTACATGTATGAGACGTGAACTCTCGTATCATTTTGTACACTTACAACATGGTAACGCTATACGGTTGAACTTGAACAGAACGGGCACTTTGCAAAACAAAACTGAATCAATCGATACCAGCAGGAAAGGTTGGCACCAACAAGCCAAGCCATGAACTCTACACCGGGGGGACTCGAGCACCACATACCATGATCGATTCGATGTCTCTCGTCTCTGCTTCTGGTAACCGGTGTCCTCTCGTCATTTTCTCTGTTCAAGTTTCCCGAAACGTTGAGGGGCTTTTTCACAAAAACGCCGGTTCGACCAGGTGTGCCACGAATCAGCCAGCTGGGTGCCAATTGTCCGCCTCTGATTGGCTGTGGACTAAACCATCACATAGTTTGCAAGTTTGTGGACTAGTTGATCACCTTTTGCAAGTTTATGGACTAAACCATCACATCCAACGCAAGTTTCCGGGTCTCTAGTGCTCTTGCCTCATGTATCATCATCATATCCACCAATGTTTTTACTAGTCCTAGAAAGAGCTACCAGCAAGGGACGTGGATCCTCTGACTTATAAATCCCTGCCATACCTTGCCTTTGAGTCACTGACAGGTGGGCCCCATGCTCTGTGGGACCCATGTGTCAGCGACTCAAAGGTAGGCTAGCCCACGGCAAAGGATCCCCGGCCAGCTGGTGTCTTGCATGTCCTTAGACTCCTAGTCACAGAGGACACACCAAATTGGCAGGAGGAATCTTCTTCAGTTTGTCGTCCAACACTTGTTCTGAAGGGGTGAGCTTGATAAAAAACCTTCATACTCATAGCGGCCCGGGATGTTCTATATGAGCCGCCAATGAGGAGGGTGTCTGAATGGAGCCAAGGAGAAGCGTGGCATAACCAGGCTTGGACGAATACTTCTCGGTGGAGGTCCAACTCCACCGAAGCTCGTCCGGGGTGTTCAAGAGGGTGGTATGACGTTGTCGACGTGGAAGCTCGATGTACTAAACCATCACGGTGGGACCAAGCATGCCCTTGAACCAAGAAGTGAATATGTAAACCTTGTGGACTGTGTGGGCCTTCCGATAGTGGCGTGGAACAATGGCATAGACTAAGGGAGTCAACTTCGAGATGGACTTCCTATCGATCCGGCGATCTATCCAGAAGAGGTCAGAGCTGCCATCTTCTAGAGCCTAAGAAATGTAGGTGCGGAGTATTGCACGGATCTCGGGGTCACAGGGGAGGTGTGAAATATAGCTTGGATATCACGGTCAAAGGGGAGGTGCAGAATATGTCATGGATCTCGAGGTCGCAGGGTAGATGCAGATGCCTCGAAGGATGGGTCGGGTTCGTCTTTTGGAGATAAAGCTAGAGATTTCGCAGGGTGATGCTTGAGCACTGGAGATCTCAGGTCCTGAGCCCATCAAGTAGGGCTGGGCGGCAACAATTGCTAGTTGATGAGACACTGGACCTCATGTGCGTTCTTGCGACCAACCTATAGGAAGTCCTGAATGACATGGTTCACCTGCTTTAGGATCATCTTTTTTAAGGCGCCGGGATGAGGTAGTGGACTGGGATGGCACTAAGGACATGTCGAGCAAGAGAGTGCATGTCACCACGAGAAAGCACTAAAGCCCACAAGGTGGAGAGCTTCTTCTCGAGCTTGTGAACAAGTGGTTGGAGACCGGAAGTTGGCACTCTCTAGATAGAGAGAAAAAGGCCAAGGTATTGCAACGGAAAGGTGAAAATGGGGCACAACCTCTCGTCGAAGATGACCGTGAGATGTTCGTCAGAACACTCAGCAAGCATAGCGGAGCACTAGTTGTCGGACCATCGAGATATCATGGCTATTGGGGCGAAAGATAACCACATCATCGACATAAAGGGACACGCTAGTTGTCGCATCATGGGTAGTGAGCCTTGAAGAAAATGGGAATCGGTCGCACGCTGGATCATAGAATTGAGGACACCGATGAAGAGCTCGTGTGAAGAGCATGAGCAATAGAGAGTCACCCCGTCAATGACCCCGGGTATCAGTTCTTGAGAAAATTTGCCAATGGAGGAGTAAATAGCCAAAAATATGATAGTTCCTCTCATGGTTTCAAAAAGCTACCACTTTTTGACAAAACACTACCACCCTGAAGGTAATACGATGCAAAGAACTACCACTTTACGTTAGAGACTGGTTGGGCTCAAACTAAGCACAATTATGACAGTTATGGCCATATCACGCTTAACAAGCGAGGAAAGGACAGTCTTTCAAGAGAAGATAGGTCTATTTTTCATTAAGGAATTGCAGCGAGTATTGCTTGTTTCCCAGATCCGGTATCAGAACCTGTCGATAGATGGGATGGACCCACCCATTTGACTCTTATGAATTGATAGTTAGATACTATTGCTAAAGGAAAGTAAAGATAGTGGTTTGTGTTGCAAAAAGCTACTTCAAGGCCAGGCTCCGTCAAACAGAGTCGTCAAGAACGAAAAGCTGAAAGAATGATGTGTCAAACAGTAGCCCACCCATCAGGCTTAATGTAGCACAAAAATCAATTTGGTTAGATTGGACCATTAAGTTGGGTGTTATGACAGAGATGCCCTACATGTCAGTTTCTATTTAAAAAACCCAAACCTTTTCCCCCCAAATCCCTCTTCTCTGTCTCACTCCTAGCACCTCCACGCGTAGGATCCGGCGCATGCCCGTGTAGGGCGTAGATCGGACCTGCTGTGCACCACCTGCGCCCCTGCGGTAGACCGTCTACCCCGTCTTGACCTTGAGGGGGGGGGGGAGAGTGCGGGCATGGGGCTGCGGCGGCAAACCCAAATATGTCTCGTGTTCTTGGTGACGTGGGCCAAGGAAACTATGACGACCAGACCCAACCCCGAGGGGGGCAAGGGGCGACCGCCGGGAGTCAGCAAAACCAAGGGGCCCCAACCTGGGCATGTTCTCCTTAGTCCAACCATTCTTCTAAAGTTGAAGTAGAAGTACAAGCACATAGGCACAAGAGACGTGCCACTGCTAAAAGAAGGGCCTGACAGTTGTGCCTATGCATACAAAGATCGCTCTATTCTGGTGAGTGCAATGAACTTCTTATCCCCACAAACCCTAAGATCCACCACAACTCATCACGTCGACCTCTCTCGCGTCGACAAATTACGTGGTGACACCATCTTTCCTTCCTTATCCCCCTCGTCCACCAATCTATTCCTCGCACCCTCAGCTCGGCTCAAGCAACCATGACACCGGCCCTGCACCACTCGGATCAACGATGGCAACCAACATGGTCCACGACTCTCCCTCCTAGGCGTGGCGACACGGTCTCGACCACAGGGGCCGACGACAAGAGCATGTGGCAAGAGCACTGTGATGCCCTGAGCTCTGGCAGCACACTCGTTGGCTCAGGAGAAGACGACAAACACCCATGATAGGGCCAATACGAGGCGATGGCGGTGCCTGGCTTCAACATGGTGGCATCCCCGCTGCGGCGAGAGGCAGATGCGGGATCCATGGAGGAGGTGAATCCGTGTGGAGAGAGGTGGATTCCGTCCGTGGGATGGGGAGGTGGATGCTGGAGTGGATGAAAGAAGAGATACCTTCCTCCCGTGCGTTGGCCTGGTGTTGTTTTTCGAAAGCAGCAGGGCCACATGTCATAACGGTTCAGTCTAATGGAGAACTCTAGTCTGAATTGTGATGGTTTTATGTTTCATCCATGTCCGTTTAATTACACATCACTTGCTGGATCCCAATATGCACAAAACGTGCCACCTCCAGCAAGCCATTTAATTGAGCACCACTTAATTAGATCACACATGACATCCTTTTCCTTCCTTCCTATATACTCATTCTCTTCTCCTCACGTCATCATCCTCATGCCCTGCTTATTGATTCCCAAGCCGACTTATTGAGTTTATCGATAACATGTAACTTTAAGACATATTTTCTCCGTTCCAAAATAAATGACCCAACTTTATACTAACTTTAACTTTATACTAACTAAAGTTAGTACTCTCTTTATCTGGAATTACTTGTCGTGAAAATGGATGTATGCAGACATATTTTAGTTCTACATACATCCATTTTTATTC